GATTATTATTAGGCTCTGTGTGGAGTAAGGAAACTTGCCCAAGGTTTCGCCCTGCCTGGAATTGAACTCAGGTCTCTCACTTGCAAAGCGAGTGCTCTAACCACTGAGCTACAGGACTCCACATCGAGACTGGGACTATTCTATTCACATTAATCTTTATAGGCCAAAGGACAAGACACATTGCTAATGGTAACAGCAAAACATGGGAATAAGTGCATGTCCATCATTGCAAGTACATATCTACGGCTAGCAATGGATGCAGTGGGAAATTGATAGTCCTTAATTCTAATGGTAAATCTCTATGAAGAGTAATTGATGTCCACAAGAAAGTGTCTGCTGTGGTTGCACTGTGATATTTACTACCAGGCTCTGCTGATGGAAGTTGGACGAGTTATAATAGATAGATGCTGACAGCTAATAATGATGGTTCACACGCTCAGCTTTGCTCTGCTGTCCAGATATTGGCTGTTCACTAAGTGGCAGACAGGGTATACAGCAAACATGAGCTACCAAAACGCGATCTGCGGCATGCTATCGCAAAGCATCCCCATTACAAGAATGAGTTTAGCATGAACATTTAACATCGACCAATATGGTTAAAAGTGCTCGTAGCATAAAATGTTTGTGTTCCTAGTCCGACCTATGACGTCCTGTAACAGGCCTCGGCCACTTTTTAATTGGTTGTCCTCTTAAGAGCTTCACATATAAAGTGTCCCGCTTCCATTAACTTGCATAAATCTACTCCAAGAGCCTGGAATGATTCGTTGCGTCCCAGCTCCGCTCCTTTCACTCTCGCCATTCCCCCGTTGACCTCTTCGAATCCGAGAACCGCACTGCCCACAGGACGTAAACAGCCGCGGCCAAATTCACTAATGGTATTCCGAACATCTGTGGTCAGGGCTCCCTCTGACCCCTTGTCGTCCTCGACCTCTCTGCCGCCTTCAACATAGTCGATTACTCCGTCTTCATACACCGCCTCTCCGCTTCACTCAATCTTCGCGGAACTGCCCTTGCTCGGAACGATTCCTATCTCTCTTATCGTCTTCTCTTCGTTGCCTCTAACTGTTCCTCCGTCAGCCCACGCACTGTCATACATGGCGTCCCCCACGGCTGCGTCCTTGGCCCTCTCTTCTTTAATATCTAAATGCTCCGCCTTGGTGGCATGATCAGCAGACAAGGGGGTCAAATTCCAAACGTATGCGGATGACATCTTCTTGCCGCCACCCTCAACTCTGGGAAAACTGCTTTCTTGACAGACTGCCAGTCGGACATAAAGTCCAAATTTCATACAGTTGAATGCGAAAAAGACTGAAGTCCACCTGATTGGTTCACTCCAGCGCCTCGGCACCTCAGCCTCTGGCAACGTCACCCAACATGATTGCACACAACAACTATCCAAGCCATTCAGTAAGCTACGGGTCGTGTTAGACCCTCACCTGTCTTTTTTCCTCCACATTCAAGCCATGACCAGTTATGCCTTGCCTCACGTCCGAAACATCGCCCGACTTCGCCAATAAATCACCCCTCAGGCTGCTGAAACATTTTTTTTCATGGCTCCATCAACTCCAGGCTCGACTGTGCAAACGCATTGCTTGTCGAACGTCTCAACCCTCCCTCCACAGGCTGCAGATAATCCAGAACTCTGTAGCCTGTGTCCTCTACCACACCAAATTCCGTGACACCATCTCCCCCACTCCCGCCCGACCCGATTGACTCCCTATCATTCATAGGATCCAATTCAAGATCCTGGTCCTCGCCTAAACAGCCCTCCATGGCCTCGCCCCAGCCTTCCTTCCACTCAGCCGGCTCTGGCCTGCTCCGCGTCCCACGCCGCAACCGCCCCACCATTGGCGGGAGAGCCTTCAGCCCCTATGCCCCCAACCTCTGGAATTCCAACCACATTCACTCCGTCTCGCCCCCTCCTTAGCCTTCTTCAAGCTCCGCCTCAAGAACCTCCTTCTCGACCGTGCTATCGGGCAACCCCATCCCTTCCCATCCCTTCCCCGACTGACCGCAGCTCGGTTCTGAAATGCTGTCCTCTGCCCAGCGTCTTGGGACGGCCTCCGTACGTGAAAGGCGCTATACATATGTAATCTTGTTGTTGTCGGTTTCTTTGTTTACCATAAGAGCCTTTTACAGGCTGGTTTAAGCACTGGGAAAGAACAAATATATAGGACGTTAATTTTTGGCCTGTGGTGAAGCAGGAACTGACAAAAGATTTCACGTGAACAGTAAAATTTAATAAAAGATTAGCAAGCTTATACATAATCAAAAGTATGCATTTGATAAAAATAAAATAATGCGCATGACAGGATAGTAATCAAACGAAAGTTTATGACAAATTATTAAAATTCACTGCAATGGGTTCATCGGATCAATATCGAGGCTTTGATGCAGGAATCGCTTGGGTAAGGTTCTCATCAGCCGATACTGATTAAACAGCACTGGCCGTTACATCAAAATCTAAGAAAGAGCTGCCACTGTGATCAACATTTTCTTACTTCTGATCAAAGTAATTCTTTACCAAGAACATAATATCTAAAGTTATACCTGCAGCTCCGTAAGGTACATCAAACTTAGACGTACGATTCAGAGCGTTGTGAATAGGTTTAAACAGATCTTTCCAATACAGTGCATGATACTGCAAACAACCTTCACCTGATGAAACAGCTAACTTTTGATCAAGAATATCATTCCATGGTACAGCAGTAACCATAAGCATTTCTATTCGAGCTACAGTTATATATTAAGCCAGGAGTGGCTTCAGATAGCTGACTGCTGAAGGCCGGATTCCATATTTGAGAAACGTCGCATAAGCAATAGTTTCGTTCTATCATTCCAGAAACGCAACATTTACACAGAGAATTTTTAACATCGGAAGGATGCCGTGAAGCGCTCGACACTGCCGACTGAGCACTGAGCGGGCATCGGAGATGACGTAGCAGGGGTGAGGAGGGCAATAGTTGACTGAAAACACAGTCAAAGTGTTAGGTCAGTTAGTTAGGTTTAATACAAGGTCATCGACCTGAAATATAAACTCACTTTCCTCTCTGCATAGATGCCTAAGCTGCTGAGTATTCTCAGTGACTTCTGATATTATTATGGTTTCGTATTGACGTGACCTGGAACGATTGGAGCCGGAAATCGGTTCGACTCCAGCAACGGAGCTCCAAACAGTGTGGGCAAATTGGTGATAGTGGGTCAGATGGGATGGGCGGAAAATGAAAGAAGCCGGTGTTTGTGGACGAAGGGAATGGCCAGGTCGGGAGGTCGCAGAGTTAGGGTTGACGGAGAGGGGGGAATGGAATTAAAGTTGTTTTTCACTGGGGAAAGTGGTGATATCTATGAATTAGCTGCATGACACGTCGCTGGGTGTCTGTTCTCGGTCGTCCACACTTTCTTTAATTCTCTCTCTCCGCCTCTGTCTGATGCGCGTTCTCAATCTCTCTCTCTCTCTCATTGTCTGTTCCCACTCTGTCATGCACTCTCTCACACACTGTCTCACGCTTTCTCTCTCTCTCTCTCTCTTAATCTCTCTTCCCACTCTGTCATGCAACCTCGCACGCTTGTCTCATGCTCACTTTCTCTCTCTGTCTCAGTCCCCTGTCACACCCCTTTGTCCCTCTCACTCTCTCTTTCTCTCCCCAGTTACTCATTCGCTTTCCTTCTCGTTTAGTCTCAATTAGAGAGGGTGGTGAACAGAGTAGTTTCTCATCGTGGAAACAGGTGACATCTGTGACTGAGCTGCACGAAACATCGCTCAATGTCTGTCCTCGGTCCCCCCCAATCTCTTTAATGTTATCTCTGCCTCTCTGCTTGGTGCTCTCTCTTTCTCTGTGTCTATCTCTCTCTCTCTCTCTCTATCTCTTAATCGCTATCTCTCTCTCAATCCGCTGTCACAACGTTTCGCTCTCTGTTTCTCTCCCCACTTACGCATTTTCTTTTCCTATCAATTAATCACTTCTTGCTCGCCCTTATTCCTCTCATACTCTCTGCCTCTCAATTATTTTGTCTCACACGCTTTCTCCCATACACATCCATTCTCTCCGCTCCCACACTGTCTCTCAATCACACTCACTTCCCCGCCTCGTCGCATTATCACTGTCGTCACAAACTGTCTCCCCATCTGTCTATCTCTTTCTCCCCCTCTTTCTCCCTCTTTCACTCTCTCTCACCCATCTTTCCCATACACAATTTCTCCTTTCCCTCTCACTTTCTGCTCTCCAACCCCTTTTCTTCCTCATTATTTCACCTACTCCCTACTCTCCCTCACAATCTCTCTCTCAACCACTCTGTCACCCCTTCAATCTCGCTTCCTCCCTTTCTCTCTCTCACTCTGAAAAACACACGCTCTCAGAAACAATCTCTCTCCCTCTCACACATTCTCCCCCTCTGTCCGCCTCTCGAGTTCACTCTCTTACCCTCTGCCTTAATTACTTCTCTCAAACTACCCCTCTTTTCAACACACACATTCTATCCACTCTCATTCACCGTTCCTCTCTCCATCACTATGGGTCTGCTATCCTCCTCGCTTCCCACCTCCCGCCCTTTTTCGGTCTGACAATCTCTCTACCTCTTCCTCTCTACCGTTCTACTTCGCCGTCTGCCTGTCGGACCAGCCTGTAAATTATGAAATAACATTTCTGATCGAATCTTCACTCTCTCTACTTCTGGTTTTGTCTCTGTCTTTCTCAACATGCCTCTCTCTCCCACATTCTCTCACTCATTCTTGTTCTGTATTGATGTCTTAGTCTTCATACACTCTCTCTTTCTCTCTATTACTCTCCCAGTCACTCATGTCATGCAATCTATCTCACTCAGTCTCTCTCACTCGGTCATTGTCTGATGCAGGCTTAAAAAGTCTCACTCCCTCTCATTCTCTTCGTCAGTCATTCTCACACTCAGTAGCTCTGTTTCAGTCACGAATGCTCCCTTCTTCTTCTCTCTCTCTCTCTCTCTCTCTCTCTCAGTCTCACTCTTTGTATGTGTGTGTGTGTGTGAGTGTGTGTGTGTCAGGGTGACAGATGATTGAGAACCCCATTCAGTTCCGAATGAAGCTCGTGTTGGCGTAGACTTGATCATCTTCCTCACCAGCTTCACAGCCCCCGTTCGAAAATGACATATTGGTGAGGATTTTATCAGCGTCCTGCAAATAGGCCAACAATCAGTATGTCTGCTTAAGGACAGGGGAAAGATACACCGCCACACCCGCCCCACTCCCCCGTGAGATCCCAAATCGCAGTTCATCTGAGCTTGGGTTTATGTGTGTTTTTGTGTCAGTCTGTGTATGTGTGTGTGAATGTGTGTGTTGTGAGTATGTATGAGTGTTTACTTGTTGGTGTGTGTAAGAGCGTGTGAAATTATGTGCAAATGTTCGAGTGTTTGTGTGTATGCATGCCTCACTGTGTGTATGTGAGTTTTTGTCTACCCTACCGTTCATTCTTTGCCCAGTAGTGCTACGGATGTTAACATTCCTTAATGGGCATTGAAGTCAATTATTCAACTATTAATTTTCCCGAAGTAAACATGAACTAAGTTTACCAATCACCTAGCATTTGGGAATTCGTATTGAGCTGAAAGTAGCTGCTTGAATGTAAAGCCCACACATAAACGAATACACGCACACACAGAGACACACACATACGCACGCACTCACAACACAAACAAAAATCGACATAAACACACACGCATAGACATATATGCACATACACAGACAGAGACATTCACGCTCCGAAACACACTTAATATAAACTGTAGGAATTTGCAAACACATGCAGCAGCCAAATTGTGCAAAGCAAATTTCCAAATCGCACAGTGACTCCTCTATACACTATCTCTTATGAAACGCTTTGAGACTCACCTTGATGTAAACTGAGTCACAACAATTGCTCGCATTACTAATGAATAATAATCTAAAGTGAACGACCAATGCCAGCGAAGTCAACGAGTGAATCACTCTTCTCTTTTTGATTATTGCCCAATTCGCGACATGGCTGACAGAGGGCTGAACTTGACTAAGCCACGGATGAGCAGGGCTGTCACAGAGCTCAACTTGGATGACACAGGAGCTAAGCTTGGGATACCACAAAGCTGAGCAGGGCTGAAACAGTGCTGAGCTTGTCTGTAACACTGCTGAGCTGGGCTGACCGAGGGCTGCACTGGGCTGAAATAGTGCTAAGCTTGTCCGAAAATGGCTGAGCTGGTCTGAAACTGTGCTCAGCTGGGATGTCACAGGTCCTAAGATGGGTTAATACAAAGCTGAGATCAGCTTAAACAGCGCTGAGCTGGGCTGACATAGGGCTTTGCTGGGCAAACACAGGTCTGAGCAGCTCTGATACAGGTCGTGAGCAGGGCTGAAAAGTACTGATCGAGAAAGATACAGGGCTGTGGTTTGCTAATGCAAAGCTGAGCTGGGCTGAAACAGTGCTGAATATGTCAGACACAAGGTTGAGCTTGGATGACAGAGGGTCTGAACTGGGCTGACACAGGGCCTGAATTGTGACGAATAGGGCCTGAGCTGGGCTAATCCAAAACAGATCAAGGCTGACAAAGGGGTGAGCTGGGCTCACACTTGGCTGTGCCGGGCTGACACTGCGCCTGAGCTGGGCTGGCACAGGGTAACTGCATCAGCCATGACTCACCGCTGGAGGTAACGGACATTCAACCTTTCTCACCGTCGCGTCTGAAACAAATAAAAAAACGATTTGACACTACCACATTTCAAAAACTCCCACTGCTATTCATTTATGTCATTCAGGATATAAATAATTAAAATGCATATTTATCAATGATAATGGCAATAGTAATTACAATGCAAAGTGTAACATATTAATAATTAGGATTGCTTTTACGGTGGTGTGCAAAACATGGCAGTCAATTGGACAAGTCGGTGCCCCACCAACAGTCATTTGTTAAGTGATTGATTTTACTTCGTGGCGGTCACCGGGAGTGAGAAACTCTCTTTTTTAATCGTACCGCGGGATATTTAATGTGCTACTGCACAGGCAGATGTGACCTTGGTTTACCATCTCATCTGAAGGACAGAACTCTTGAATCGACTCAAACTGAGAGAAATAAATGACAGAGAGACACCCTTTCATGAACGTAGAGAGAGAAACAAACAAATGGACAGTCTTATAGACATCAGACACAAGGAAAAAATACAGACATACAAGCACACGGAAAGACAAATAGAAGGAGAGAGATGGGGGATAATGGAGCAAGCGTGAAGCTAAACGGACAATTGCCTCTCGTTTGGGGGCGGCTGATGAGGAAGTAATTGTTTATGTTGGGCTCGAGCACAGGCTGACCATCCCTGTTTGTGATCAGCTCCTTTCGCTCTAGTACCAAATACAGAAAACCTCTCACTCACATGGGACGTTGCTGGTTTTGGGATCGTCTCCTGTGGTTGCGTTCCTGAGAGAAAAATACAGAGAGGAGAGAGCAATGAATTCACTACTTTTACTGAGGAGGATTGCAGAGCTCAAACTCGGGCTTGCCACAGGGTTAACCACCAACTATTTTCTCTCATCTGGGAGAGGGGTCAAATGGCCGTCTCCTGTTCATTGCATGTCTCTGATGATAGAGTTGCTAAAGGATCAGGTAGTTGGCCACACGGTGATTTCAAAACCTGTTTAAACGAAAGTTAAACGCAGCGTTCTGTCTTTGTTTGGGGTATTAAAAGGAGCGAGGGATGAGAATGTGATTCTGTTGAACTATTTCCTAGTCACTGGAGGATATCGATTTAATATGCCGTGTTGGGGTGTAAGTGGGAATGGGGCATATACGGCACATATGGGAACATATCACCGTGATTTCGAGTTCCAGTTACACGTTCCACACTTCTAAATTCCTGTGTTTGTGAGAATCATAATCATTGCAATCTAATCTCCATGCGGATTAGGTCACAGGCTTCCGAGATTCAGGCTTGGTGATCTCAGAATGTGTGTTGTGGTTACTGCTGCTGTCCGACTAGCTAACCATATATAGATTGACATTGAGGGCACTGGCCGACACCATTTCTCACTGATTGTCTTGATACAACCATCCTATCCGTTAGCGGTTTGGCTTGCAGGCTTGACACCAACATAATGCCTCTCCCCTCACCTACTCCTCCCTCCACACACACGGTCCACACCAAAAACACAGTTTCACAGTGGGAGGATTTCAAGCTACCAGTGACGAGTTCGCACTTGCATGTCCTACCGAATTGTGGGGTAGCACACACACAATGTGAAAAGTGCTCAGAGGGGATTAGAGTAGAGAGCACCAGTGGAGTAGCGAACACCAGCAATGATAAGATGGGGAGAAAGCATGAAATACGTTTCCATTAGAGAGCGCCAATGGGGAACGAGCCCCACCACAGGTATGCTGGGGAGAGAGCAGAGAATGAGATTGGAATAGAATCGTTCTCACCCTTCCCCTCTTGAACTGTTCTGTTTACCTACGAATACAAAACAAAACAAATTTTAAACAATGTTCAGCACTGGTTGTGTGTTTTTTTATTAATATTAGTGCTTTCTTTTTAACCAGAGTCAAAAAGGCCTTCACAGACACTTTTTGTCAAGTACAGTTTCCTACACGAACAACGTGATTGCTGGTTGTTCCTTTATTCCCAGCAATCATATTCTATATTCAGTAACATTAATGGCCACTTACCTCTCTTATGCCCACAGAATCCCAGTACAAGCACAGTTATCAGTATCGCAGTGAAAATCCCCACTGAAAGTCCCACAGTGTGCATCCAGGTCCAGTTTGCTAGTGAGGTAAATGGACAAGCAGCAGTTTGTTATCCGTGAAGAGCTAAGGGATAATACCATTTATCATTTTGATCTCCTCCTAACGTGAAAGTTCAGTAGAAAGTAACGTTTTCTCTCAACTTTCTCTGCTTCAATGAAAACACCACCATTCCCCTCCAGTCTATCGTCATGAGAAAAGCCTCTTGACCCTCGGAGGGGAGGAAAGTAGGGGGCCTCCACAGGGGCTGCACTGGTTGCCAAACCTGCTGTGCAAATCGGAATCGAATCCATCTTTGGTGGTGGTCTCCAGGCTGATATCGGTTCCAGGCGGATCAGCAATATTCCAAGGCACTGCTGATGACAGCACATTTCAGCCTGGATCATTGACAAGAAGCTGAGCAGAAGATCTCTCACTGTGAGCTGTTTTTCCTCACCCACGTTACCGATAATACACCATTACAGAGCAGACGGCATGAGAGGTCCTCGCTTGAAAATAAGGGGTTGCCTACCACATGGCTGTCAATGACAAGCTGTGTTGTTCAGCTGATTAAGTATCAACTTTTCTTTAAGAGCAGGATCTGGGGCCTCCAAAGCTTTTCTCGCAGAAAGTCGTGAGGATTAAGTCAGCAGAGGCGTATCTTCCTCTGTTGAAAGGAAAAAACTGCTGACACCACGGACGTGCCGTTCGGACAACGCTCAGGATTTTGGATTTGGGAACTGTTTTATTGCGGGGATGTGTTCCTTTCCAGGTCAAGCACTACAGCAAACACAAGGACATAACATGAAAATATGACCAATGGTTTAAATAGTGGTTATAACACGAGCTGCTCTGGATTGTCAAAAGGCAAACGGGTTATGGTGTGAGAAATTACTCAGCTCTTACCCCGCACAGAGATTCCCAATCGCTCGCTCTCTGATGATGTGAACACCCGACTGTCTATGACTGTAGCGTACTCTGTGCTAAGCACCCAACACTGCGCTGAGATACCCTATTTTTTGCTATCTTGGATGCTTCGCCCAACCTGTCCTCAACTTCCCTTTCCACAGCACCTTCCTTTTGATCAGCTCCAAGCCCTGAGCTCAGCCTCTAATTTTCACGACCCCTCCTGTAGTCAGCCAAACTCCCTTTGCTCCAGTCCTACGTGCTCACTCGTCGTTGGTCAGCCTCACACTCGCTCCCCGCCATTGTTTACACATTCTGTCTTCAAAACCCCTCCCGTGCATAGCATCCCTATGTCCACCACTCCTCCCCAGTACTCAGTAGTCCTTTCTGCCTCTACCTACTCCCGCTACCATTCCATCCCACCTTCACCCCCAACACCGCTGGCACGCCCGCGTACACAGCATCCACTGTGTTCAGTTTCTTCCATGTGCTCTCGCACCTGCCACACAAACCCAGCGGTCAGCTCCCGTCCGCAAACTGCGGTCACCACCCTTTGCTCACTCTCCTATGCGCACAAAACTGTATGTTCCCACTATGTTGCCACTTTGTGCTCTAACGTTGTGCTCACAACCGTGCTCCCCCGCGGGCTCAACACACCAATGCTCCCCCACCCTGAGCTCATCCTCCTCTGCTCAGCCACATTTCTCGCACTTGTGGTCACGACCCTGTACTCGCCGAACCTGTGATCATCCATCTGTGCCACACCGCTGTGCTCAACCTCTGTTAACACGAGGAAATAATTTGGAAATATGATCGATTTGGTAAAGAGCGATTATAACAGGAGCTGCTGTAAACGGTCAAAACAAAGAGATTATTGTACGAAAGTTTACTCAGCTCTTACCCGACTCAATGATTCTCACTCGCTCGCTCTCTGGTGATTCGAACTGCCGTCCGTCGATCTGAATGGTATATCTACACCAGTAGTTTCCTGCAATGATCTCCGATGGTGTGAATGTTGTTGTGTTCACATTCGCTGGAGCTGCTTGTGATGCGATAAATTCGCCGTCTCTGTATAAAGAAAAATTGCTGCCAAGATAATTCCCAGAACACGAGATATCAGCACGTCTTCCTTTAACCGACGCTTGGGAATCTGGCTTCACAGTGATGGTGGGTTTCTGGAGTGGATCTGGGAATGAAAAATGATTTCAAAAACACTCTGACAGCGGATATCAGTCCCCATATTCAACACAGATTCTGCCTGTATGACAAATTATTTTGATATGCACTGTATTTTACACGGAGTCACTAATAATAGTAATAATAATCCTTGCATTTAATACATGCCTTATCACATTTTCAAGGCGTCTCAAATTACTTCAGAATATTCCGTGATATAGATGTCCAACTACCTCTCCTGTATACACAGAATTTGAATGAAAAGTGAATTGACTGTATAGTTTTCGGTTTGTCAGAAAATTGTGCGCATCAGTTTCATGCAAACAGTTGTCGATTGAAAGATTAATTTCTTATCACAATATTTTTTTTTAAGGAATTATTGTCCCCCCAAAAATGATCCGCCATTCGACTAACAGTCGGGTTCCTAATTTCTGAGAGGTAAACAGAGGCGTTAGTGTGAAGTAATGTTTCGACCAATCCCTAAAGGGAATGGAACCCTACAAGGTGATTGCTCTAACCACTGAGCTACAGGTCTGCGTTTCACTCTATGCAGCGTCTGAGACAAAGTCCGCCCTCACCCGACAAGCACGTGAAAGGTCCAACAACAAAAACAGGGTGTATTATTGCTTCGAGTAAGTTAGCTTTCCTGATGAGACGGCAATCTGGGGTAAAGTTCTGCGTCACGTCTTTATTTGTTGATAAGTCATCTAAAGACAAACAGGTAATTGTCGCTCTTACCCCTCACGGAGATTCTTACAGTGTCGCTCTCTGGTGATAATAACGTCCGTCCTCCTATCGTTTTAATATATGTACAACTGTAGTCGCCTGAATCGATGACTGACAGGATAAACATCTGTGAGTTGCTGTCCTCTGTAGCAGTTTTCCGTCCGGCAGAAATAGCATTTGGATTTAGAATGAATTTGCTGACAAAATGATCGGTAGAACATGAGACATTAACCCTTTCCCCTCTCACAAACACCCGGTAATTTGGCTTCAGAGTAATCGTGGGTTTCTGGAGCTGATCTGGAACAGAAACACAATATCAATAATTTCACGACTAGTCAAATTCTAGGCTGAGAACCTTACACACCAAAAGCACCTCCATGGGGTGTGAAAGGCGCTGTTTAACTGCCGACGGATAATTATTATTATTCTCCAGGCCTCCGAGCTCTGTGCGTATGTTATTGTGCATGTCAGAGAATGTCTGTTTGATTGTGCGTGATAAAAATATCAATATTAATACCTGCATGTCAAACAGTGCTTTTTCCGTTTTCTAAGTGTCTCAAAGCGGTTCACAGAAAATAGTGCAAAGTGAATCGACTGTATGTTTGTGGGCAAAACGCGTTGGAGTCATGTAGCTCAGTGGTTAGAGCACTCGCCTCACAAGCGAGTGATCTTTGCTCGATTCCCAGCAGGGTGAAACCTTGTGCAAGTTTCCTAAATCTACACGTCTGACAAACATCCATCAAGAAAAAAACCGAATAGTAAATTGGTCACTTCAATACACATGCTGTCCGCAATTGGTTGCCGCCTTTCATCCACATTGTACAGTCAATTCAATTTTCAGTATATTCTGTGAAGCAGTTTTCGATGTCTATACGAAAATG